ACTGTCCTGTGCGGAGTGTGAAGGCAGTAAGGTGTTCCTCCCAGGCGACCAGTAAGTCCATATTCGTAGAATCAGCAATGCTGCCTTAACTCGAAGAGGGACGAGTTAGAAATGGTTTGCCCTGAAAACCGCAAACTGCGACCGCCGGCGCATTATTCAATACGGTCGAAATACTTTCAAAATCAAAGGGTTCAGTGCTGCGCAGTCTCATCAGGATTGGGGCAGTTAGCGCCTTAAGGATCGCGTCCACGGATCAGACCGACCCCCTACAGTCAATTGGGTCAGACTGCTGAGTCACTGGCCTCGGGAAGAATTCCCAAAAAACCTTAACAACCACTACCTTTGGGGTCGGACTTTAGAGCCAGAGGCTTGTTATGTCCTCTTTGATGTTATATCAGTCAGACACGTTAGATCACCGGAAACGGAGAAGACAAACAACTTCGAGGAAGTTATACTGCAAACAAATGGATCGTTCCGTGGTATGGGATTCAACTGAACCAAAATACAAAAAGAGCTAACAGTCCAACAGGATGTCAGTGAGAGGCTGAAATGTAGAAACATGGTTTTAGTATACAAGACAAATCGTTATTTAAATGGATTTGTTCGTTTGGAAGTAGTCCTCTTAACACCTCCCCTTTGAAGTTCTCGATCGTAGGACTGCTGCCGAGGGTTGAGTTGCATTGTTGTGACGGGCCTTCGTATCCGATCGGTCTATCTCCTAGGTGCACAACTTTTGTAAATTGCTGGTTCATTCATCGGCTCTGGAGATTTCGGCTTTTGAGCTAACTCAAGTGTATCGAGAAGCATATCCAGTGGAAAAACAGAATCGAGTGTAACTGTCGTTGGAAGACAGAAAGAGCGTAGCTGGTTGGGATGACGGACCCAGATAGAAGAGCCTACATTTACCTCATAGACAACTCTTCCGGCACGCCGCACAATTGTGCCGCGTCCACTTTTCCGCGCCACCACGATAGTCTTTCGTTAGCACAGACTGGCCAGGTATAAATATGTTATAGCACCGTGACGCCGGGTGAACTGAGCTTTCATATATGTGTTTATAACGGTTGGCGAATGTGGTTTTGGACGGATGACGCCTTCATGCGGCTAATACCGGGATGTCCAAAGTGAAATGGCTTAAAAGACATCGCTCTGTCATTCGGAGGCACAATCATCCGTTCTGAGAAGAGTACGCAACTATCAACCTCAGAAAGTGAGGGTCGATGTTGGTAGAACGGTTAAATTTGCTTATCGGAACACACTGGAGGCCAGTGTGTGCGGTGGAAATGGAGTACCCTTTGGACTAATCGATCATGTGCAGTGACGTCGCCAACCATCGCAGAAAAAACTGGAATTGCATGGAGTGTAGTAGCAAGCATCGCGTTAACTGCTGGCTCCACTGTTATTGCGGCAACAACAGCACCCTCAGGTTGTTTACAGTGAGAATCCATGAGTCTTGATGATGTCTCAGCTTGGCCAATGGCATCAGTGGACTGATAATTATTGAAATCGTAGTCCAAGAGCATTGCAGCCCAGCGTCGCCAACGGTCGATGTGTAAACAGGGACGCCCTTCTTCGATCGAAAAACGGCGAGAAGCGGCTTATGGTCAGTGCTGAGTGCGAAATGACGTCTTAAGGGCGAAGATGATCGATCTGGTCGGGGTCCTCGAACAAAACCCAACATCCTCCCACCGCCTGGTAGGTCAGACTTCTTCTGCTTGGGCAACAGGAAAGTAGAATTTGCTCTTGCAGCTATTCGCTCTCCGGCCTTCCACTACATCCCTCCCCACCCGTCAAACGATGTAGGGTAACAAACCTATCTGTCAGTCCCCTAGCCAACGTTCCATGCCTAAATCGTCGCACAGAAAGACAAACCAAAAAATCAAAAGACATGATCCACGTTGCAGCCCTTAGTATCGGTACCCTTCGCCGAATGGGGCAACAGGACTCTTGTTTTCCCTAGCTGTCGATGTAAGTCGTGTCTCCAGAACGCGCATACAACACCGCACTCAGCCATGCACCTTAAGCAGATTAGAACGAGCTCAGATTTTCCACATTTCGCTCTTCAGCTATCCGGTAATCATCGCGATCCTGGGATCATAATATATTTCTGGCCGGTGGAAACTCCCAACACAAACACTCACATCGATTTACTTGGATGTCACCAACTGGAAGACAATCATAAACTCAATGGGGCCATGGGGCTATTAGTCCACCATCACCACCAGGTACAGCAAAATCAGTGTCGACAAAGATGCTTCACTGCCGTACAATCACAAAGTTCATCCCATCATCGTCATCATTGTAAGCTGTAATAACCGTGTACTTGTCGTACAGCAGTTGTACCGGCTAGTTCCGTTCACCGATAATTTGAGGTGGGTTAGGTAGCTGCGCATCGGAGGCGGGAGCTGATAAATTAGTGCGTAACTACAGCACTCTCGGTGGACAATTAATTGGGGGGGGATTGGAAAGGGAGTTATAGCTTGGATGCATGAGCGCTATTAAGGGCGCGACTCATCAGAGACACCAAAAGCAGAAACATCAGTGTTGACACTGATGCTTCGCTGCCGTACAACCATCAGGCTCGTATAGTATATATATATATATATATATATATATATAGAGAGAGATAT